ATTTGAGCTTCAAAAAACAGGGGAATCTGTGAAAAAGAAGATGGGTGGAGTCAGTTGACATGGACACGCCATACCTCGGAAATGAGGAGGGTGTAGCTGCGTACTCCTTCAAAAAAATGCGGTGGCTGCACTGTTGGAGAAATCTTGGGACAATTTTAGGCCCTAGTGTGTTTGGGGGAGTATGTCTATGTCGTCTCTTAGGGACTATCCCTCGACGGCTCAGATCGTCTACGCTCTAGGCTTAAGCTTCTTCGGGGAAGGGATGCGGAGACACTGTCGGGTGGTGTCCCAGCTACGTTAGCACCCAACTGTAGCCACGTATTTGCCGGCACAATTACAAATGTTTGAAACGGAAATATTCCACGGAAAAGCAAACTACGCCAGCCTCGAATGCAGCCAGGCCTGCCCATCCCAGGAATATGGAACGCATCCAAGTTGTTTTCGCCGCAGACCCTGGGGCGTGCCAAGTGGTTAGGAGTGGCGCGGCGCTAGTTCTTTTTCCACCAATTGTTGTCGCTCGCCCATTCAGTTGAAAGAGAACGGGCTGCCACCGCCTCAAAACCAGCTCCCGACACGCCCCAGCGTCTGCAGCGAGAAACTACCGTAGCCTCATTCGCAGACTTCACCGATGCCCATTCTTTGCGATCGATAGGTATCACTTTTTCCAGCAGAATTTGGTATTATTTCCCCAGGGCGCAAAATATGGACACGGTTTCAAATTGTCGATGGTTGATATATAATTAAAGCAGAGTCGATCGCCTTTCACAATGCTAAGAATATAGTGTTAAAAAGAAAAGATATTATGCAAAAATGTAAATGATAAATGCTACAGTTCCGCCTTTATGAAAAGGTGTTCATTGTTTAAAATTTTCGAAACATCGTGAGTAGAGTAAGACTACAAGAATAAAGAATTACTCAAGAGATTTCTACATGAAAAATTAGACTAAGCAGCCAGAACAATGCTGAGCAGTAAGAGAACAACAAGCAATAAGCAGAGGAGCCAGAGTTTGCTTAATTCTGAGCCATCAAGTATGATTAACTACACATCAATGAATCATTTCCGTAGTGAGAAACAATTTGAATAATCGCAGCGGCAGGCTTGCAATAATGAGGACGATTAGAAAAAAGAGAAGCGGCATGACAGGATGCAAAGTTACCGGAGAAAAATGTGTCATAGATTATGGACATTTTGTTGCAGTCGCTGAGAGAACTAAGTGGAAAGAGATAAACAAATTGAACTATTCCTATCACTGTTGTACCATCAAACACCTTTTTGTAAATGTTTGCAGTGAATCAAAGGGGCTATAGCAGCTGGTAGCAATGCTTTTTTGAGATTTGGAAAACTGGTCCATAACTTTTCATGATAACACATCTGCAAATGCTATATGTTTTCAGATGACATGTCTCAACACCTGAAAGATTGCTGTTGTTCAGAGATAATGTCCGTTCAAACTTTGCTGCCCCGAAGTGCGATAGCAACTCAAACAATAGTGGAATGGAAATATCACGCAAAACTTCTCACAAAAAATGCTGGAACTTCTGAGAATCTACTACCAAGGCTCTGCTATTGCGAATGTTGGAGGATTGAAACAATCATAAACAAACCGGAAAAGAGAAGATGCATTTAGCAGTTACTTAAGTGGGTGCACATAATTACCCAACGAATTGATTAGAACTGAAAGACGCTGAAGCAAGCGTGCACTGAAGTACTGTGTGCGGTTACGTCCAACCTTTTATGATTGACGTCATGATCGGTTACGGGGCTGTTGTCAACCAGACGTGCTCTCGCTGCGAGGGTCCAGGGTATTTTTTCGGGGCATCTACTAGCCCAGTAGTTGAAGGGAGAAGGTAAAGGAAGAGGGAACAGAGAAGGAAGGAAGGAAAGGAAGTAAGGAGGAAGAAGGAAAGAGAAGAGAGGCTTCGCGGCGTTAACAAATGCCCTGAGGCGGTCATCGGATCGCATTGACATGGCTCTTACAGAGAGCCCATGAGCGGTACGTGGAAAAGTCTCGCTGAGCGGAGTGCTGACCCT